TCTGATTAATATGCACAATTTAGCAATGTAATTAAGACCAATAGAGTTTAAGAATCTTGCTGATCTTGGTGCTGTAAATAAATGAATAACAAATTTTCAAGGTATGCTTCCAGCAAAACAAAACAAAACAAAACAAAAATCCAGAGCAACCCACATAACACTTTGTTATAATGCATGAATGATCTTTTTTGTGTTTAATGAAGATATTAAGGTGGACATATTCTGTTTAATATTCAATGTGTTTTGGAAGTATTAATATCTTCTTAGGTATGCAGAAATAAAGAATCTGAATGGGTCAACTCGGTGCAGCCAGTTAGGCATGGACAGGTCGGTGTGGTTAGCTCGTCTCTGCCAAGTCACTGCCACCAAGTTGTTGCAGGACAACTCGACATGTGCAACTTGCCCTGGAGACAACTTGCTATGGGCAGCTGGAAGAAAACTGGGTAGATGACCAAACAGGAAGGCAAAACACAGAGTAACAGCTTCCCATTTTCACCCCAGTTGCTGCCACCACTGCAGCCATTGCTGTGGGCTATTCAGAAGTAGCAGCTTCTGAATAGCCCATGGTTAGGGCCATGCAGGGTGGTGGTGGTGGACAAGGCAGGTGGCAGGGAGCAGCAGAGGGTGTATGCATTCCATTTTCACACTCCCCGCTGTCACTGCCAAGCTACCATTTGGCTCAGCAGCAGTGACGGTGGGTTTTATGAATAAGGGATGTGCTCAGCCCTCAGCCAAATGGCCTGCAGCAGTGGCAACAGTAGGTGTGAGTGAAAATGGGACATGCCCAGAGATCACCACCACTCTGCGCTCTGCTCACTCGCCCTGACTGTCCCTGCAGCTGCCTGTAGCAAGTTGATCCATGGTCAATTAACCATGTTGAGTTGTTCTGCGATGACTTGGCATTGGTGAGTTGATAGAAGCAACTTGGCAGTGGCAACTCGGCTGTGCTGAGTTGTCCTAGATCTATAAAGAAAATACATTTTGATTCTAAGTACTACTTAGACTAGTAATGCCTAATTTAGTTAGATTCTTAAAAGAAATAATGTTTTATGAATACTGTGATCAAACCCACCATGACATTTATTGCCATGATGGCTGTGACATTTATTGCCATAATGGCTGTGAATTTGTGCCTCTTCTTTCCTTCCAAATTATTATTGCATGTACAAAATAAATATTCATTGGGAAAGATAAGCAATATCAGACAGTTTCTTTGTCCATAAGATCTCAAGTGTAATTGGCCCATACTTCACTTTAAAATATGGTTTGCTTTATGATATTTGGAATAAGCCATAACTGCCCATTTGCTGCAGTTAAAAGAAGACACAAACCAAAACAACGGTTGGAATCATATACCTCATGAAGACAAAACCAATCTTCCTGAGATGAGGGGACCTAGTCATGCTATCTTTCTCTGGAAGAAAGCTTTTTTAATATTTATACTTTTCTATGAAATTTTCTCATTCTGCCTCATTCTTTTTTTTAATCTGCAGTTTCATCCCCTCTTATTATCATTCTCTTTCTTTTTACTTGCACTGTAATTCATGGACCTATTGTGGAACATTCTGGCACTCTACACTACTGTTTCAAAAAAAGAAAAATTTTAATCTCTCTGATCCTCATCAGCTACAAGATACAGGCTGTTTCTAGAATTTTCAGGAGATTCATGGAAGCAGCCAGTTTTTCCATTCCCCAGTTTAGGAGATGTGTCCTGGCATGCATAATCCTCTTTGTGTACTACAGACTCATATAATGAAAATAACTCAGTTTGGGCCACTTTTGGATTCTAGAAAAGCTTACATGAGACTAGATGCTAAAATGGATATTCTGTGCATGTGGCTGGATTTATAACCAGATTGCTAAGAAACAAAGGATGGAGTCCATGACAAAAAGGTTGTATGTAGAGACATTGGTTTGTCCACATGAACTGTAAATGTATATGTGAATCCAAAAGTTCAGGTCAGTTCACTTCAATTATAACATTCAGCTGCCCAGAGTCACTTTGAATAGTGAGATGGGCAACATATAAATTTAGTAAATAAATAAAAACATAAATTTAGATGGTGGTGAATGAGGAGGAGATGTTATTGATCAATCACACCTGCATGCCACTAGTACACAAATAAAATTTTATGATAAATTCAAGACATTTTAGATAAATTCAAGACATATCAAGTTCCCTGATATCAATGATTTGATCCTCAAGCAGCTGAAATCAGATTAACTTCTTTGCTGCTAAAAACGCTGCTTATTTCCCCAAAAATAAGACCCTGTTTTATATTTTTTTGAACCTGAAATAAGCGCTTGGCCTTATTGCCATGCACTCAAAAGCCCAATTGGGCTTATTATCAGGGGATGTCTTATTTTGGGGGAAACAGGGTAATTTGCAATAATTGGCTAGAGGAAGAACATGAAGCTTTATAAGCGTAAAAACTGCTTGGGCACCTTCAACTGAAAAATTGGAAGTGAACATTTGGACATAATATTATCTTCCTGGGATTTTTTAGATCAGGATATTAGCTTTTGACTAGACACAGCCCCTTAAATAAATTATTTATAACATTACTAAAAGGGAATAGCAAAATAGTTAAAAAAATAAAGACACTTGCATTTATCTACTAAACAAGTGAAATAATTAATATTTTGTTTTTCCATATATTACCATTTTCATAGTCTGTATTGTTTCATAAGGTTATTCCTGAAATATAGCAATACTGTTCAAAATAACAAGAACATTGTTTCTCTCTCTGTGTGTGTATGTGTGTGTGTGTGTATACATACATATACATACATACATACATACATACATACATACATACATACATACATATATATATATATATATATATATATATATATATATATATATATATATCAATAAAACTAATATAAAGTAAGAAAAAGGAAACAACAGAAAAAAAGCTAAAAGTGTGAGAAGGAAAGAAGGCAAAAAAATAGAAAAGAAAGAAAAAGATACAAAGAAATGCACAATTACCAACAAAGCTAGGAGAGTCCGTGGATTAGAGGTTAATACATCTACCTAATATGTAAGTAGCATGAGTTATAAACCCAGAAGGATATGGCTAGCTGACAAGTGCTAAATAGCTTGAAACAGTTGTGGGCTGCTGCTGGTTTGGACCGGTTTGGGCAAACAGCTAGTTCCAACAATCATCTGGCCCCGCCCACTTGTTCCTGCTCTATCCTCTCATATATTTCTTTCTTTCTGGCTCGGCTGATTTGCGCAGCACAGCTGATTTCTGTGCCTCAGCTGTTCTACTTACCTGGGCTGCCTTAGAAGATAAGCAGCTGAGCTTCATATTTCTGTATTTTGAACGCTGCGTACAAGCACGTTAGGCGCACACACACGCTCACAGAATTAGTTGTTAAACTGGTTGCAGCCCACAACTGGCTTGAAATATATCTATATTAATCTCCCTTTATTTCTTTGTTGCTAAATATACATTTAACATACAAAGAAATGGCTTCCCAACTTCTCTAAAGCAGTTATAAGTACAATTACCACCTTTTATTCTGTTACAACATGATTTTCTTCTTTCTATATATCTATCCTGTCTAATAATCAAAATCATAAATTCATTTTTATTGTTTTATGCAAAAATTCCATAAGGGATTTTCAGGCAGCAATAAATATGAACATTATCTTTCAGGACACATTGTTTCTAAAATAAAATAACAACTTGAAGAGAATATAACTCCCTAATTTCCCCTTGTCTTCCAATATAATGCTATTTTAGTTTACCTGTCCACAAAAGATATTAAATCATCAGCATGTTGAATCTGCAGCAATGAATATTTTAAGGAGATCATAGTTCTGTTTTGATATTTAATATTTGATATTTAAACTCAAAAACTTTCCTTTTAATCACAAAAAATTCAGATTCTAGCTTACAAGGAAGGTTGCATACCCTGGGGGAAAAGATGTTCTGCTTAAACAAAAGATTAAATTCCAGTATTCAAAAAATATTTTCTACACCACAAATTTTCAAGGAACAATTAAAAGATTAAAAACTCATTTGGAAGCTAATTAAATCCAGGGCAGCAAATTAAAAACAAATACACATTTTTAAAAATGCATTGCTGTCCAACTAGTATTATAAATTCTTTGGAAATCAACTGGTTTCTAAAACTCAAGTTTTAAATATTTTACTATTTCGTATTAACTGTAGATGCTTTCTTACATCTATATAACCCTAATAAAATCTATTTTTCTCTAGAAATACAAGCATGGGCCAAATGTAATATAACCTAATACATTCCAACAATATAAATTGCAATTTGTCACTGGTAATTCAGTTGAGGACTGATGGCAAGTTAGAGGTCCTCATGAAGAGTTCCATGAGTTCAGCACTGAGATTCTAAATTGCCAGCCAGCAGTCAGTTTCTGGCTGAGAAAAATCTCTCTGGAGATAAGGAGAAATCTTTGGACCAGGCACATGAACTCTGGAAGAGCTGCTCCTTAAATTGTTTTTCATGACGAGAATTCAGAAATTCAATTTCTTGTGGCTGATCAGGAGTTGAATGGCATGACAGCCACACATTTTACTGCTGTGCAGCTTTAATGGATATTAGACCAACACAAGCTTCACTTTCTTAAATGCTTTATGATTTCAACTCTTTACAAACTAAAGAAGATATTTAAATACTAGTGACGATTAAAGACTGCCAATGAATGCTTTCTTTTTGAAATGGGGGGGGGGGGGAAAACCATAATTTTAAATTATTTTAATTTAAAAACGAACAGCTTAACACAATTGTAATCAAAGAGAGTTTTGAACAGATAAAGGGGACAGTGATTTTTTAAAAAAAAAACAAGACTTTTTTATGAAAGTGCCTCTGAAAATAGCAAAATTAATTAGACTAATAGACTTGTCTTTCCTATTGATGGTTTATTATCAAGAACAGTAGATAATTGGTGAATTTTACAAAACAAACAGATAAGAATAATGGCAACTAAATGAGAAACTAAAAAAAAAGCCTACCTCTTACTTTTACCAGCATAATTGACAGACTTCCATGTTCTCACTATGGAAACATCAAGAAGATATGATAAATCTGGAGAAGGACACAAACAATTTAAAGATAAAGGAATTTCATGCATGCTCACAACCGGTGAACTAATGTGCTGAAGCTGACCAGGCTAAGAACAGTAGCCAGATGAATACCTGGTAGATAGAAGTAAAAAAAATTTTTTTCCTATTTTCCTCCCCCAAAACTAAGGTGTATCTTATACTACAGTGCATCTTATACTCTGAAAAATACTGCAATTAGTTTTTCATACTAATATCAGACTTTTGCTGTCCAAGTTGGTCTGAGGCCTCAATGGGGTACATCGTACTAGAGGTGGTTAATGAACTGAGATATGACTACATCTCCACCCTGTGCCTTCTTATGTTAATTTTAAGTCAATTTTAATGTTAATATTTATTCTTTTAATGTTTTTTTAAAATTTATTAATATGTATTCTTTTAATGTTTTACCTTGTTGCTTCTATTTGCTTGTAATCCATTAGAAGTCATGTCGAGAATGGTAGCATATAAATTTAATAAATAAACAAACAAACAAATAAATAATAGCTGCCAGATAGGAAAATCCCCCCCCCAAAAAAAACAATTACCTGTGATTTATAAGTTTAACATTTCTGAATGTTATATTTGCTGATGACAATAAAAGGCTCCATTGAAAACAAGAGATGGGTAAAGATAAAAATGACAACAGACACTTTTGTCCAAAAGTAAAGTTAGTGTTGAAGATTTGTCATTGTTTCTGAAGTCTGCTTTTCTGGCATTTACAGTATTTGTTTTTGTGATTGCTAACAAGATGCTGGTCATTTTTTCTTTCTTTTTGTCCAGCTATTTCAGGGGTGAAATGCTCCTGGTTCAGACTGGATCAGGCGATCCGGTAGCAATTGTGACAGGTGGTTCGGAGAACCAGTAGTGATGGCAGTGTGAGGCTCCGCCCACCCACCTGGGTGTCGTTACTTCCTGCTTTTAAAAGGTAAAAAAAGGCTCTGATGATCGGGTACCATATCTGTTATTGTCAGAGCCTTTTTTTACCTTTTAAAAGCATTTTTTACAACCTATTCACCCAAATAGGTTGTTTAAAAAATGCTTTTAAAAGGTTAAAAAAAGGCTCAGACGATCACAGCTGTGCTATATGATCGTCAGAGCCTTTTTTTACCTTTTAAAAGCATTTTTTAACAACCTATTCGCTGAGGTATTGATATTGCTATCTTTGGGGACATGTTTTGGGGGGAGATGGCCAGGAGAAAGCATATTTCTTCAGTCTTGTTAGATGGGAATATTTAGTACATAGAATATGGAAAGCATCCATTCTGCCAGCATGTAGTGAGCAGGGAGAAATAATTAGAGATTAGCAGGCCTTCAGATATCCAGCCCCTATACATAAAAGGCTTTATATGTAATGATCCAGGCCTTGAATTGCACCCAGAAGCCAACTGGCAACCAATACATGTAGCAATGGTGACATGAAAAACAATTCTTACTATATGTGCTGTGCAGGGGTGAGTTCTTCACACGTGTGTGCACCAAGCTTCTGCACATGTGCAGATGCTTCTGTGCATGTGCAGATCGCCTATGACAACATCCGGGGTGGTGGGCAGGACCTCCCACTGGTTTTACTACTGGTTCTTGCGAACCGGTCCAAATCGGGAACAACCCACCACTGGTGCCGTGGGATTGTGGAACGAACTGAAATTTCCAGATGGCCTCAGGGGGCATTCCATGGAGAGTGCAATGTAATAATCCAGATGATCTAACCAAGGTGTAAATAATTGTCTGAACAGTTTACCGATTAAGGAAAGAGTGCAACTGACATCCAAGATGAACCAGTGCAAATACAGATAAATCGACTGACCAATAGACCAATCTTATGGGATATATGTCTCCTGACAGAAAAGTATATAAACATGAAAGCATTTGTTTAAAAAGGAATTCCAAGGAATAGATTCAGCCTGAGGTGATAAAATAGGGAAGTTGAACATTGCATAAAATTTTGACTCTCCCTTAGTGTGTGTGTGTATAAAATGATAAAAGTAAAAGTTTCCCCTGTCCAGTCATGTCCAATTCTCGGGGGTGGTGCTTATATCCATTTTTAGCTGAGGGAGGCAGCGTTGTCCAAAGACAACGTATCAAGTGGTCAGCATAACTATACACCAAGGTGCACAGAATGCTGTTACTTTCCCACCAAAGTGGTACCTATTTATCTACTTGCATTTGCATGCTTTTGAATTGCTGGGTGAACAGGAGCTGGCCAAATAATGGGAGCTCACCCCATTGCACAGCAGTTCTCCAGCTGACAAACTCAGTATCTTTAACCACTGAGCCACTGGGCGCCCTAGTGTGTGTGTGTGTGTGTGTGTGTGTGTACATACATACATGTATACATATATACATCATACATACATATATCCATGATTGTATATTTCTACTTTTTCTTTTCTTTGAAGGGATCATCTTTAATTTAGTATTTTGTTCCTTTTAGGTAAATGTATTATTATTATTACTGTGGTTACTTAAAACAAACCGAAATGTATTGGTTTAAGTTAAAGTTACCTTTCTCATACATTTAATCCTGAAAAGTAAAAGGCGTTCAAAGTTATTTTTAGAATATCAGTTACCATGGTAAAAGCAATTTTTCGCACTGTTCTCTTCACTGATTGCTTAGATGGCTAATGCTGTATGCTTCAGTAATACATCCCAATTATGCTTTTTAATAACTTTATCTTATTCATTTTATGCTTGGGATTTCTGCTTAGTTAGAAAAACAAAATTTCGGTTTGTATCTGCACATGTAATATACTGTGTTCATCATGTAAACACAGCATTGTAGATTCAAAAACACATTGAAATCCTTCTAGGGTATTTATTTAAAAGGAAACTTTTGCTAGCAGGAATACAAAATGATCTCAACTCATTCATAAAGGTATTTAACCCTTGGTATCAGCTAGCCTGCCTGTCAAAACATGTTCCTTTCCTGGTATGATTTTCTGTATATTAGTGCTCTTTTGAATGTACTAATAACCTCTAACTCTGGCAATAGAATATTGAATTAAGCAGCGGTGCTTCTTATTTTTCTTGCTGGTTTAATACTGCTAAGGCCACCAACTGATAGGATTCAGATGTCTTTACAGCTAATCTTATACATCTTTTGACCAATACAATAGTTCTGTCTGCAAATATGTTGTTATGCTTATTTATAGAAGCTAAAGTATAAGCAGTGGGATTCTATAAAATAAATCATACTTTGGCACATTTGACAAGATTTATCCACCCAGTTAGGTACCCTAATAGCATGTAAAATGTAATTGCACACTTAGAGCTACGTTAATTCTCAAGTTCCTTCTCTTGGTTGAGCATCCTTATGAATGAGCACGAGTAATTTAATATTGTTCAATACTGTTGGCTTGCTGCCTACAAACCAAGCACAAATACGTAGCTACACAGATGCTATTGTTGTGTATTTTGTTCTACATTACAAATGGACAAATAGCGACTATTGTTATTGTTTTGATGTACTTTTCTGGTGTTCTTTAATTAACTTTAAAGAGTGAGTACATTTCCAACAATGCAATGCATTTCTTGAGTTGTATTCAGTCAAGCTGTTCTAAGTACAGCCATGTAAAGTCTCATCAACAATTATATGGCCAATTTATTGTTGGACAAAGCAGAAATTTTCAAGCTTTTCAGGCTGTATAACCCTAATCCTGGAACCCTAATTCCTGGAAACCCTAATCAAAAGGCAAAGCTCTAGTGACCGAAAATTGGCTGTCTTTGAGTGATTTTTTTTTTTCTTTTCGTCCTCAGTTCTCAAGGGTCTTGGTGGCTTTGTGGAAAAAAGTTTGAAAAAAACCCTGTGCTGCAGCATGGAAATAACCATAAGATTTTTGGTAGCATAAAATATCGAAGTGTATGTGTGTATTTTGTATCTAAGCATATAAGTAGTCCTCAAAGTACGGTCACAGTTGAACCCAGATTTTTGTTGCTAAGCAGGACATTTGAGTGAATTGCATCCCATTTTATAACCTTTTTTTGTCCCAGTTATTAAATGAATCATACAGTTGTTAAGTAAATCTGGCTTCCTCTATTGACTGCTTGTCGGAAATCATCTGGGAAAGTCACAAATGGTGATTATGGGATCCTGGCACAGTCATAAATGTATGCCAGTTGTTGAACACCAAAATTGTGATCACATGTCCATAGGGATGCTGCAATGGTCTTGAATGTGAAAACTGGACATAAGTTCCTTTTTTCAGTGCTGTTGTAACTTCAGATGATCACTAAACAAATAACTGTAAGACAAGGACTACCTCTACTACATTAGAATAGAACCATACATAAACTGTGCCTCACTAAACCTATAACAGAACATGGTTTTCTTCTGCATCATCTCCATGCCAGGATATGCAAACCTTCAGAGGTTTTGTTTATTCTGCTTCTTCTTTTTTTTTAGAAAAATAGCCAGGATACATTTCTTTGTCCAGATTGTAATCATTAATCAATTTTGATTTTTAAATATTATGTCTTTTTAACAAGCTTCAGTTTATATTTTAATTCTTGTCTCAACTCAGAGATGCCAGAGTTTAATATAAGTCTGCAAATGTGTTCAAGTCAGTTACAAGACTCACATTCTTACGATGTCCACTGTTTGCTTACTGCATACTTAAGGGAAGAACTTCTACATTTGGCATTTTTGAATTATTTAAGCTTCGTGAAGATAATAGAAACTTTAGTTTCTGAAGTTCAGAATATACAGAATCTTGCACTTGCTTTGAGTACTTTCTTGGTAGTCTTCCTCTCAGTGTTTCTTGACCTTGGCATCTGTAAGACATGTTGATATCTACTCCCAGAATTCTGGAAACTTAAGTCCACATGTCTTAAAGTTGCTAAGAAACACTGCTCTACATATTCTAGTTAGAAATACAATTTTATGTCAAGATAAATTCTCCCCCTCAAAAAACCTGTTAAAGTTCTAACGTATTTATTAAAGTATACTTGCATAGAATCAACTTTTCATCTTATGTATTGTTAGACTGAATTTATGAGTGCTTGGAACTGCATAGACATGCTAAGAAATGCACCATCTTTTTATTCGTTTTCTCCTCACATAGAGATTGAAAGAGCTGAAACAAAGGGAATTTGCACGAAACGTGGCTTCAAAATCCTGGAAGGATGAAAAGAAGCAGGAGAAAGCTCTCAAACGACTTCATCAGCTGGCTGAGTTGCGGAAGCAGTCAGAATGGTGCGTCTTTGGAACTAATATTACATTTTAATCTTGTCTCTTTTTTCCCCTGATAGTCCCAGGAGAAATCTCCATGGCTTTACTTCTACTTTATATCACACAGAGAATTTTCTTCATCCTCCATGCCAACATCCTTATTGTACAAACAATAAAATTGGAAACCCTGCAATAATTCCTTGGCATTTGAATGTTGGACTTTTTACCCTCTTTCTAATCTCTATGAAATTACTTTAATAGTGCTGTGATGAATTTTTCAGAATAAACATTTTCAATGCCACAAATAAAGGAGAAGAAGTCTGGCTAAATATTCCCTCTCCCACAATAAACTGTTGTATTCTTAGAAGAGAATATTTGTAGCTCAGAGTTGAATAATGGGGTCCTTGAAACTTTTTGAGTTTGTGGTTTAATGGAAGATGTTTCATTACCTAACTAGGTAACGACATCAGTTTGGAAAGAAAACTTCTGCAAAAAACCCACCATGCCCAAAGAAATCTAAAGATCCCAATATTTTACTCTTCCTGTCCCTCTTTGCAGCCCCTCCCAATAAATGCTTTGGTTGATTGATTTATTTAAAATTCTTCTTGCTTTCTTGCCTAGGCAAGGATTATCTCCTTAGTGATGATCACACAGCTAATCAGATTTGACTATGTGATGGTTACGGTGAGAAGCCCAGATAGCCCATTGCTTAGGAATGGGTAATGAGTTGCTTTTAATAAAGAATTTTTAGAAACATCAGATATCTTCCTAAATGGGATGGAAAGAAAAAATCCTAACTATTTCAAATTGTGGATAAAATTAATGAGTTGATATATTCTTCTAAAGAGACAGAGGATTTTGAATGTTTCATTCTTACATTATCTTGACACTTGTCATATTTGTGGTCCTAGAGTCACAGTACGGGTCTTTACAGTCTAGGAATCTTTAATAGATACAAGTGGCAATAAGATGGTCCCATCCATGCTGAACACACCTGATTTGAACCATTAATCCCAAGGATTGATGGAATATTGTTTGTTAAGATCTTAGAAATTTTTACAAATTTGTTCAAAGAGACAGAAAGATTTTGAGATTTTAAAAAATGCTGATTGTTGAACAAAATCAAATTGAATCATTCTCACTGAAAATGTAGACGAAGAAAGGAATACATTGGGCCACCATCTTGTCTTCTTCTCCTCATGCTGTACTCTTTATCATAATACATGGCCATAGTATTTCATTTCACTGAGCCGTGATGGCGCAGTGGTTAGAATGCAATATTGCAGGCTAATTCTGCTGACTGCCAGCAGTTCGATTCTCACTGGCTCAAGGTTGACTCAGCCTTCATCATTCTGTGTCAGAAACATGAACACCCAGATTGTTGGGAACAGTAGGCTGATTCTGTAAACTGCTTAGAAAGGGCTGTAAAGCACTGTGAAGCAGTATATAAGTTTAAGTGCTATTGCTGCTAGTGCTATTTTCACTGTCCATCAAAGTAGCTCAGCTTGGTAAGAAATACTGGATATACTGTTTCAGCAATGGGATGATATATAATTTACATCATTGATATAATTTGATGATTATCAAAGCAATCAATTGGCCATTGTACCTCTTATTGTTTTCCAAAATTGATGTTTTTAGTATAATTCCCAACAGTCACAGCCAATGTATCTGAGATAAGATCAAGAGGACAGAATGTGTAGTTTCACACATGTGAAGGATACCATATTGGGAAAACATATCTATATTAATAAACTATTATTATATTTTCAAGTCATGAAAAAATTAACTGAAGACTGTAAAAGGTCTTCCAGGATATCATACATGCAAAAAAATAAAAAAATCTACAATAAACCAATGCTGAGTTAAGTATTGAAATACAGACATAATAAAAATCTGATCCAAAACTTCTTCCATATGCAAAATTTCTACATGTATATAGCCTCTTACTAGTTCACTAGTATTAGAAATATGGATGAAGCTGTTCATAATATTATAATCAAAAGCAAACCTTTGTCAGTAAAAGCAGTGAGGATAGTAATGTATGTAGATTTTTGTAGATTTGCACATTTCATTTTCGGGCACATCTTTACTAAACTATGCATGCCTGTAGTTCAGCTCATTGGGCTGCACATCCTACCTACTACATTAATTCAGGCTTCAGTGAACCTTCACGGCATGCTGTGTTCATTAACTACTTCACATGGAATGAGACCAAGGACAACATGTTTATGTTGATTGTGATCAGTTCAGCATGTTATTATTACATTCTTTCCAATGCCATATTGGGTCCTGATGGTGATGAATTCTGTTTCATCATCCTAATTACCCAGGCTAATACTTTCTAACAGGGTATGCTGAAAATTAAATTCATTTTAACTTAAGTTGTTTTCATTATATTATTTATTTCTAGTGTTGCCGGATGCAGACCCATGTTTAAAAGTCCCCAGGTAGTTGTAGAACAACCACAGCAACAAGCACAAGACACTTTTCTCTTAGCTCAAGAAGACAAAGACAAGACTGCAGATGAAGCGAAAAGCTCCACCAGCCACCATTCCGAAAAACTGCAGGAACCTTTGCTAAACAAGGATCAATCGTGCATAGAGAGACACCGTTTGCTTAAAAACCATATGTCTCCAGGATTCCCCTGCAGCACGAATGCTTGTAACAGGACAGGGGTGTCCTTTTCCTTTTCTAAAAAAGTCCACTTGAAGCTTGAGTCATCAGCATCTGTCTTCAGTGAGAATGTGGAAGAAGCACATGAACACGTTGGGTCACCAAAGCAAAAACTGAATCAAGTTGCCGACGAATGTTACACTTGCACACATATGAGTAGCAAGAGGAAAACCAATGTGCAAAAGCGATTAAGCACACTTCAGGGCCCGGAATTATACAATCTGTCAGGAAAAAATAAACCACATAAAGAAAATAACCAAAACAGCAACAGAGAATCAGCGGAAACTCATCTTCCATTTTATAAGGAGAAACAGCATTCTCTAGATTTGGAATGTACCAGCTCTCCTGATATAAAATCAAGACAGCCGGTCAAGACTCGGAAATCTATACAAAGCTTCATCACATCTCAGTGCCAACCTACCAGTGCTTGTATACAGCAAACAGATTACAGACACAGCAACATCTTGCTAACAGAATGTGACTCTGAATTCTCATGCCAACAGTCATCTGAAGGAGGACATTCATGTGCCATGCACTTTAATCCCTGTATATTCAAATGTTCTTCTGATTCTTCAAAAAATGTCGCTTCAGATAATGAAACTTCAAAAACTGATGGTTTGGTTCATGAAATTAAGCCTAAAACATTTCCTTTTCTTCACGTACTGAGTAAAGATGGCAGCAAAGCCTTCCATTGGCCCATAGAACTTCTTTTGTTTACAAAAACAGAACCTTCTATTTCTTATGGGTGCAATCCATTATATTTTGACTTTAGACTTCCCTTATCCAATAAAGACATTGGGCAGCATGAAGTCAATCCAGATGTTTCTATAGAATATTCAAGAACTATGGATATAGATGAAAATCATGCCTTGGATCTTTCCAAGAAGAAGCAGTTGTCCATTAGAAAAGATAACATTTTAAAGCCAAAGAAGAACAGTGCTCTGTATCTCAAAAAATGTCAGCCAAAATTATATAAAGAAAAAGAAAACGAAATTAATTGTAGTGCTCCAAAGTACATTTCGGATGATTTGAATGAGAACATACCCAATGTGCCTGCTCACCTTGATTGCTTGCAAAGGCATTGTACAATAGCAACAAGTCACCATACAGAATTGTGTATGAGGTCTTTAGCACAACACTTTCATAACTGTGAAACAACGGTACAGGATGAAGTTGGTGAAAATGTTTGCATTTATCCTTTGGCATCTAGGGCAAAAAAGGAAAAATGTGGAAAATGTGATTTAATGTATTCTCACGAGCAAACAAATCTGGATTTGGTCACTTGTACAAGTAGTATAAATGAAAGTGGAAAAGATACACTTCTTGGTTGTAAATTAGACTGCCCTGATGAATGCTTGGAAAAGGAAAACAATGTGAGTTTTGCTAATGATTTTTGGAAATTCTGCCCTTTGCAAAAACCTTGGTCTGACAGACAGTCTAATTATTCTGACATCTCCACCAATAGTGAGACTAGTGACATAAGTTGCTACTGTAATCATAGATCAAGCAATCATAGTAGACGTAATCTGCCTTCTTGTTGCAAAAGGAAACAAAAGTCAATTGGAAGACAGAAATGTAAACACCAAAAGCACAACTGCCTTTCCTCTTCTGATGAAGCAGACGTGGACTGCTTTATCCACAAAAAAAGCCAGCGATCTGCAGATTGTACTCAGAGACATCCAATAAAATGTCAACGATATTTGAGATATGGGCACTTGCTACAAAGAGAAAGAGCAAAGCAAAGTAGAAATAGATATCTTGTCTGTAAACACAACAGGAGCAGATGTACCAGCTCCCAAGTTTCTTGCATCCATGATTCTGGAAGCAGTGAAACATCATCAAGTTCCACTCAATCTAGAGGTAGCAATTCAGGATCATTCATGAAGGAATCAGTGCATATCTGGAACAAACACAAAAAGACTGTGAGAACTGGTAAAGAAAAAAAACTCTGCTCTGCCCATTCAGAGAACCAGAATGTGAACTGTGCTTCTAAGCATAAGCATGGAATTTGTTCTGTCAACTGGTTAGAAAAGGAAGCAGCAAGACAGAAGTCTCTAACTGCCAAGCTACTTTTACAAAAGGTAAAATCCAAAAGAAAGCAGGGGCAAATTGGAAGCACTGGCAGCTTTTCGAAGGCTTGCAGGATAGATGCCCCCTGTAATGTGCCTGGCACATTTTCCATGGAGAGTGAAACAATACTGCCTTCCCAGGAGAAAACACACAGTGCTGACATGAACTGTGTGTGGAATCATGAAACTGGGGAAGTGGAAAACAACACAAATGAACGTTTGGCCCTAGATAATATTATGGGTAACACATACAGTAATTGCCTGCTCCAAGACTTAATTCAAAGAGGAACCTCCTACCAAACCCTAAATATGGAAGCAAGCACAACAATAAAAGAGAAGACAGATTTCTTAACCGATGAAACACAACTTCTTCTGCCAAGCTGTGATCCAATGACAGGTGATTTTCCTCGTGCTTTTGTTTCTCATAGATATTCTCTTGCTCCAAATGTTACTGACACCAAAGAAGAATACAACGCGAGGGCGGACTTGCATCAAACAGAAGAGGAGCTAAACTATTTCCCTGACAATGCTATGCATAAATCCAATGAAACAGAATATGAGACTGATCTTTATAATAAGTGCATCTCTCCTCCTTTATCACAACATCCAATAATATTTTCCCCTGATGAAATAGATAAATACAGGTTTCTACAGCTACAGGCCCAGCAGCACATGCAGAAACAACTTGTAACAAAACATCTCAAGGTTCTGTCAACTACTGAACCAGCCACATTCTCTGCATCTCCAGCAGTTCAGTCTGTTCCAATCCAGCAGCACACTTCTGTTGCCACCCTCCACCAAACCTTTTTGCAAAGCTTGGCTTTGTCCAATGGGGCTCATCCACACAGCAGTAATCTAACCCATATATATCCATTCTCACAGGCTCATCTTGCGCCCGTATCAATTTCGCCATTTGCTTCAACCTTCCTGCCAAGTCACGCAGCACTATTGTCTGGTCATCCTTTCCACTTGGTATCAGCCACTCCTATTCACCCTGTCACCCAACTGGCAATCCCATCCCTGCCTCCTACTGCCTTTATTCCTACTTGGTTCACTCCACCGCTGAATGCAACTGCATCTTCCACAATGCATTTCAATCCTTTAATTTATCCATTTTTCCAGGGGCAGAAACTTCCACCTTATTCTTGAATATGGCAAGCACATTGGTTCTCTGAACTGGGGGGGAAAAAGTAAGTTAAAAAATATAGTTAAATAGCAAGGTCACTGTCCCACATTCCAAAAAGCAATTTAGAATGGAAAGTCCCATTTAGTAATGTAATTGTTTTCTGTATGAGAAGTCATGGTTTATATACTCCAAATATATCAAGAATGCTGAGCAAAATCAAAGTTGGGCTGACACAGCACATAAATTTGATCATTAAACTGTTGAGAAGAGAGTTATTTGTCACAAAGCCATGTCTACTTCTTACTGCAGTCTCTTGCAATTTGGCACAGTCCAGATATAATTTGACTGCAGCTTCCAAAATTCCCAAACTATTTGGAAGGTGCCTGATTAGGAGGTATTGTCTGACAACTCTTTTTAAGGTTTAGCATGGCCTTTGCACTATAGTAGGTATTTTCTTTTTTAAAAAAAATCTGTATGTACTTTCAAAAAAAGATGCATGCAAAATGGTTAACCTTGGAAAGCTTTTGGAGTACATAAACTCCACATCCTCCCATCATCATGCAACTGGCAGCACATAACTGATTTTAAGCAATGCAATTTTTCTTGTTGTTTAAAAGATGCAATAAAAATGAAATAAGTAACCAATGCCACAGAAATACTGGCTGAAAATTTTGCCCCCTCCCTCAGGAACAAGATTGCATCCAAGCTCTTGCATAATCATTGCTTGGAAAGTCAAATAATAATCATGCAAGGAGGAGAAGGAAGATGTGCGATCCACAATCTAAAAATGGGGCCTTTCTCCCTCCACATGCTTGCATTTAGAAATCAATAAATAAAGGCACCATCAAAACAAGCTTCACTGCGTATCATGAAATTGTACACACATCTAAAAGGAGCAAAACTTTCCTGCTGAACACTTCAGTTTAGCTTCCAAGGCCAGAAAAATTACTAAGGTGTTTCCAGGAATGCTCTATCACTTGTGGCCTTTATGATAAAAGCAAAATCTAGTTTTTTCTTGTTCAGAAAGATTCATAATCACTGAATCAGATTAGAAGACTGTGAATATAATTACATTACTAATGTACTTATACATTAAGATTACAAATGTATGCACAGATTCTTTGAATAAACTACACTTTCCAAACACACACACACACACACACACACACACACACACACACACACACTTCCTAGTTTCCAGTTCAGACTTTAAACAAAGATTATATGGAACAAATTTTGTGAGCCTGGTATCTATTAAAAATCAACTGAACCATAATATATATAAATCATCTGTAATTTTGGTACGTTTGCATTTCTTTTAAGTTGAGGCTGTACATATGAATATATATTGAGATTATTAATTTAACTGAATTGATTTTAAAATTATGTGGTTCAGGATGTTGCTAAGGACAGTTATTAGAAATTGCCCCAATAGACTAAAAAGGTAGAATAGAAATATTTCATCATTTTGTCCAATCAGAAAGTATTTTTCAGTACTGGTAAGATCCAAAATTAGGCAATGCAGATTTTTAACCAGATTCAAGGCTGGTTTATGGCTTTAAAAGACAAATATTAGTCCTTTATATTTTATAATTTCCTTTACTTAAAATAGCCATTAAAGTTATTATTTGTCCAGCTTGCAAATGGGAAATTTAAAACATACAGTGACTGAAATTTCAAGCAAATCACCTGCCACTACATATATGTCCCTTTTCTTGTCATGATCTAATTTAACAATTAGAAGATTGAATTCAGCTATTCAGATTGACTTCTGTTCTACACATGCTGAAAATCTTGATCCCAGTGCAAAATACAATTCCTCACCATAAGTTGGTAGAAAATAATTGCTTTGTAGTGACATAAAAGTGATTAGATGAAGTTAATCAATAAACTGTAATGGTTTTCCTGTTAATTAAATTATATATATATTCTGAACACAACTATTTGTTATGCAGGTTTGCAGAAAAGATGAAAATATAAAAATCATAAATATGCCATTTGATTCATTTTTCAAGTATTTCATTTCTTTCAAAGCTAGTTTTCTGGCTAATATTCTATATAATTAGTCTGTTTTTTATTCTCTGTAAAATGTTTTATATTATACAATAGCTATGTGAATTGCACTATTGAACATCAGATGCAGCTTTTTTTTTTTTTAGTTAATTCAAGCTTTCTTGGGAATGTAGTTTTATGCAATAATGTTTTTCAATAAAAGAAACATAATGGTGTAAAGAGCGTTGGTAATGCATTTTTTAAATATCATACGAAATAATGGGATAAAGATATTTTTATTTTAATTCATAGGACTGAAATGCATTTTATTTATCCAAACTGTAATGTTGGTTATTAACACTATTTCTTTTTAACAACAAAAACAGCAAAAATAATATTTGGAGACAACAGAATAGATGAAAACAAACTGGACAAAATCAAAAAATACAAAGATCTGCAAATAGAAATAAAAAGACTGCGTCAAAGGAAATCAATAGCAAAGGAACCTGGAGCATCTAAAGCACCATGTGAACACCATCAATGTTAACAAAATCACCTTCAACCAATTGCAAAAGAACAGCTTACATTCTGTGATGATACATTTATTTATTTGTTCAACTTGTATGCCGCCTTTCTCCGAAGACTCAAGGCGGCTTAACACCATCAACCAATGACATCTAGATATCCTGGGTCCATTGGGAAAAAGATGATAGTTGGATAAAAATGCCAAATCAATCAGAACATCTATTTGACTGTGCACCCAACCATAATCATAACAATATGCTATTTGGAATGGGTATTATACCTTCAATTTACACTAATAATACAGCCAATAAAATGCAGTTGTGTATAGATCCATTTATTATAGTATTACCTCCTGCCCTATTCTCATACATAATGATGAGCAATCTGCTAGAAAAATAATCCCCATCTTGGTTGCTTTTCAACTCTGTAAACTTCAATTTCTAGATTGGGGGGGGGGCGGGGGAGTTCCTTTGAGTAAAGGGTTTTTTTTTTGTTTTTTTTTAAATGGCTGGTAACTGCCTGAACAGCTCCCTGCAGTTTTCTTGGCAAGATTTCAGAAGTGGTGTGCCATTGTTTCCTTCCTAGAGCCGAGTGACTGATCCAAGGATACCCAGCCAGGTTTGCGCCTATGATGGGACTACAACTCATGATCTCCTGGTTCCTAGCCTGATGTTATAACTGCTACACAAAATTGTCTCCATCAACTCCTATAATGTTCAACTACAACATACTGTCTGGCAATTAATGAAGTTGGAGAGCCCTCATACGACAATATTGACTCCATGTCAACAAATTATCTCATTCAGTAGTTTCACATACAGTAGATGTTAAACACAAGCAGAAAGAATATAGAACCTTGAAGAACCCCATAAGGAAGGGTCTAAGACCAGATCTCTTTCCATTCAAATGCCAACTAAAGTTGGCCTCAAAGGTAGAAGGAGAATCACTGGAACACACTGTCTCTCCTTCTTAATTTGTGAACCAATCCAAAAGGACACTGGAGATATCAAAGAGAGCTAGCATGGATGAACGGTTCTGCCAATAAGAAGATAAATCAATATCTTCTTGATGCTGTACTCCAGTAACACCTGAAAAGGATCCAGATAATCTGTTTTTTCAGTCATTTTAAAGCAACCAATTTCTCAACTTCTAAAAAAGAAGGTTGGAAAGTCAATGAAAATTGTATAACACTAACAAATCCCAGGGACCAACTTCTTGAACAAAGGACAAACAATCACCTCCTTATAAACTGGAGTATCCCATCTTTTCCCCCCACAATGTTGCATTCATCTAACTACGTGAAAGGCCAGTCATAAGTAACATTAATTTAATATTCAGGTACTTGTACTTCCATTGTTGAGCACTCTGCCATTCCCTTGGGACCAACAAACTTAAACTCTTCCCTGTAATTATGCTGAACCATTCTTCAGTCAGTTCCAAAGGACTTGCACAGCCAGAGTCCAACTTAAAGTGGATCTAAACAATTTTCTCCACCACATGCCTAAAATTGTATTCACAGTGGCATTGCAAATATAGATATTCACACACACACACATACACAATTGAATGCAACAATTATTGCTCTTATCATCATCCTTATGAAACCTTATGAAATCCTTATGTAAAGCTCTTACCTGTCCTCTATCAGATTCATTTTTCAGGTTCCTTCAGGCATACTCCAGGCATCCCTTTTGCCATTTTGTATCCTGGAATTACTAAGGGCAAGGAAGTTCTCTGTAACTCAAAAGTATGGTAGAATGATAATTATAAATGTTAATAGTATTTATTGTCTGTTTAAGTAGTACTTGGTCAATTCACACACTCTCAAAATTCCAAGAAAGTTGGTATGTATGTATGACTATTTATCAACTATTTATCTTCAGAGTTCCCTGTAAGCTTCATTACTAATAAGGGACTTCCTAATTTTATATGATAAGCATTGATGTTTCATTTTAATTTCAACAGTAAAACTTCAATTTCAATGGACAACTGCAGTGGGAAGGCATAAACCTACCAGAATCTGGTGGTTTAGAAAAAAAAATATTTAGAGTAATTTATTATCAGTCTTTGGATTTAACAACAGTCTAATGACCTCATCAGCAAAGATTGGAATTGCTTTTCAAACATTCTGTAGCCAAACTAATGATAGTAAAGTGACTTTATGACTTGTATATAAAGTCATCAAAACAGAATAAAAGTAAAATTTTTGATAGCCTTTCAGTGCTGTGACCATGCACACCTAAAATTGTATGGCATATTAAATCAATACTGAATTTTGCTAAACCATTAAGCTTTCAGTAACGAAGTGTAACCATGGATTCTTCAAAATCTGTGTGCATTTAGTATTGAAGAGAACAATTGTAACACATTGGCAGACCATGCAAGCTTTTATGGCTCTTTCTAATGATTTTCAGAGACTAAGAACTTATATTTACAAAATGTCACTTTTGCAAACCTCTCTCTCAGTACTATTCACTAATAACCACCCTTTCTTTTGCTCCTTCCAGTTTCCTCCCTTTTCCTCCTCCTCCCTCTGCCTTCTATGTCTTCCTAATAGGAAGGGAATCACTGCAGAATATGCTCCATGAATCTTGCCTTCTTGAATCTCATCAGTCAACTTTGCATAGATATTGTGTGATGCATCTTCCTCTGCCCACCCTTCCAGCCATCTCTCTTTTCTTTCCCATCTGCCCTCAGTCTTGGGCATTCTTCTATCTGGGATTTCATTTCTTTTCTGCCAATGGAAGCTTCTCTCTCCCAGGGTGAGACAATCACAACTGCATGAGTAAACTCTCCCACACACTTAATATGAGGTTTCTTTCCAGTCAAAATGTCTAACACAATCTTTTCAACAATTTGCAATAATTGCTGAAAGGGGTGATGTATATTTCTCTTTCTTGTCTTTGCAGGTCAGACCAACAGTATATTCCTCAACAATAAAAATAGTGGGCTCCCCTCCAGGCCTTTATTCCCCAGCACCTATGCTGTATACGGGGCATGACCAAAGGGAATCCTGTTTCCATCTGCCCCAATACAATCCTGGCTAGCAATCAGATCAGTTCATAAATCGTTGTGACAGCACAGCTGCACTCAAAGACCATATCTGGGCTTCTCCCCCTTCTCTCTCCTTCTGCTGACTCACAACTGCACCATAGCAGCCAAACCAGACCATTAAAATCCATAATAATTCAGAACAATTAAATATTGCATTTCAACTTTATAAATTGTATCTGCTTATTTTTATTTATGAAAAAGTTCCTTATAGTTGTATATGCGTGTCCTTAAAAAGGTAAACTAAATAAAAGTTTCTCTTTTGAAAATATTCAAAGAAAGAGAAAATAAAAGTAAAAAGAATGAGTTGTGTAATTCTGATGTGTAGTGCCATTATATTTTGCTTGAAAATAATCTAAATTATATTCATAGCAATGCTTGAAGAAAAAATATGAGAATTAAAACAGTAAGTTGCCAAACGTACACTCAGAACAGAAAGCAAAAATGAATGAAGGAGGATCTATAGGAAACATTAAAGGAAGCTACTCAGAAAGGAAAATTTGTCATTTAAAAAAAAAGGAAGCCTGGTAGAGACAAGATTGATAACCAGAAACAAGAGATTAAGAAGATATTCTGCTAAAGCTCAGAGACACCCTTTTAGGCTTTTGAAGAAGATACCAGTACTGAACCTTCAGACAAATAAAAAATTGAACAGGAAAGGGCACACAGTTTAATAGGATACAGGATATGATATCCCTGAAGTGATACATAGTTTGCGTACTGCAAAGGGTCCAAAAATAACATTTCCAATTCCTCTTCCTGCTAATCCAGGAAGAGATGCATGTAATGCAAGAGTAGCAACAACTGATTGGAATAGATTGTGAAAATCCAAAGAAGTTCAATATCCTGGAGATTTCTTTCTTATTCATCCTTCATAGTTCAGGAATGGAAGAGAAAGAATAATTCTGAAGGTAAGTGACTGGGTGTGCCAGAGCACACTTGAGTTCAAGGGCCATGGTCTGAATTACCTGGATAGATGACAGCTAGCACAATGCAGGATGCATTAATATGAGTTAGAAAATGCAGGTAATCCTCCACTTACAACAGTTCTTTTAGTGACCATTCAAAGTTACAATGGCACTGAAAAAAGAGCCTTATGACCATTTTTCACACTACTGTTGTAGCATTCCCATAGTCGCATGATCAAAATTCAGATGCCTGGCAACAGGTTCATATTTATGACAATAAATCTCAGGGTCATGGCAACTCTCTGACAAGCAGAGTAAATGGGGAAGCCAGATTCACTTAACACCATGTTACTAATTTAACAAATGCAATGATTCACTGAAAAGTCATAAAATGGGGCAAAGTCTCTTAACAAATGTTTCACTTAGCAATGTAAATTTTGAATCAGTTGTGATTGTGACTCAAGAACTACCTGTATGTCATTGGCTAAAGCATTACAAAACTAAATTTTGTAGGGATTAAAAATGAAAACCATCAGATATAGAAGTAAGTAAGTGGGTTGTTTTAGTGACAAAAATCAGAAAACATTTGGCTCATAAACATTTAGGGGGTTCAT